CATAACCTTCAGATCACTATGAACGCGTAGAATAGCACCAGACCCTATAAAAGCCCATGAGAAATGCTCCAATCAGTGATGACAGCTTCTTGAAATCTGTCAATTATCCAGGTTTTAATCCATTATATGATTGCTCTATTGATATTTTATAGTGATCGTTTTTAAACAAGAGTGGTACTAAGTCTATTACAACCAAGCAGTTATCAACCAAAGTTATCATGTCATAAAAAGAACGAACTTGGGTTGGTTTGACAAGCCCTAATTCTGTTGAACCACGCTAACTGGCAAGTAACATCCTACCTTTATCCAGCTGAATCCCAGATTAGTTTTCCCATTTTCTTTTTCCAAGCTAACTAACCCAGAGTTATCCAGGGCATCCTGTGTGTCATTTCTCAATACCGATAAAAAAATTAGCTGTGCTGCAGTCTTCTCTAATTTCCCCATGATCTTAACAGATACTAGCAATTAATTTTAATTGTAATGTCCCATGGTTTTGGGGTGCACGAGTCCTGTGGGTTCCCGGATGCACGGGTCCCATGGTGCACAAGTCTCATGGGTTCCCGGGTGCATGGGTCCCGTGGTGCACAAGTCCTGTGGGTTCCTGGGTCCCGTGGTGCACAGGTCCCATGGGTTCCCGGGTGCACGGGTCCTGTGGTGCACAGGTCCTGTGGGTTCCTGGGTCCCGTGGTGCACAGGTCCCATGGGTTCCCAGGTACAGGGGTCCTGTGGTGCACAGGTCCTGTGGTGCACAAGTCCCGTGGTGCACAGGTCCCATTGTGCACAAGTCCCGTGGGTTCCCGGGTCCCGTGGTGCACAGGTCCCGCGTGTTCCTGGGTGCACAGGTCCCGTGGGTTCCCGGGTGCACGGGTCCCGTGGTTGTGGGGTGCACGAGTGGTACTTCCAAGCCTACTGAAGACACACCGGGAACAGGGAGCTGGTGTCCACCGGGGAGGGAAGGGAAGGGAGGGTGAGCGGGCAGGGAGTACACTGTGGGACAAGTGAAGTACAGCGCAGGGGCGGGATGGGGGCAGCCGGGCCCCCGTCCTG